TCTCCTGCAAGAGCTCCCCAGTGCAATCCTGAGCATGGACCGGATGAAATGGCACAACCCTAAACCCTAGCCCTAAACCCTAAACCCTAAACCCTAAACCCCAAACCCTAGCCCTAAACCCTAAAACCCTAAACTAAACCCTAACCCTGAACAGATGGCATCCCCCCACCCCCACACCAGTCATGGGCTTAAGAAAAGTGGTATACTTTCAAAATATGCAATGATTTTGTTTTGTTATCAAATACATAACCGGATTCATTTTAATATTATTCATAAAATTCACAAAATGACATGGATCGAAAAATGTGTGTTTTTGTGTGTCAGTGTTTTTTTCTAAATCCTTCTTAACACCGCGTACTTTACCCATTTCTGCACCATCTTTGTTCCTTTCTTTGTGAGATCGAAATAGCGAGCATGGCTTTTTCATGTGGCTTCACAAAAAGCTGAGCCATGCACATTGCAAAGGCGCACACAACTGCACCCTACACCCTAAACCCTACACCCTAAATTCTACATCCTAAGCCCTAAGCCCTAAACCCTAAACCCTAAAACCCTAAACCCTAAACCTAAACCCTAAATCATTGCATCCCAGCTCGGAAGACACTGACATGCCTAGGGCAAAGACCCTGTCCGCATGCCCGCAGCAAAATTTATTGCAGCGGCGTAGGGGGCTTAGGGTTTAGGGTTCAGGGTTTAGGGTTTAGGGTTTTGGGGTTCAGAGTTCAGGGTTTAGGGTTTAGAGTTTGGGGTTTAGGGTTTAGGGCTTTAAGGATCCAACCTCTCAGGCATCCGAGCAGCTGAGGACGGGTAGGATGTTAGGGTTAAGTCGTCACAAGCAGTATCTAGGCTGCCCAGTAGTACCCTTATTCCCTTTTTGGGGGGTTTAGGTTCCCTTATAAATCCCTTTAAGCAAAACAGGGCACCCTTTTTAAGCCTAGGTTACTGGGCAGCCTAGGTATTCAGACGATACAAGTAAGTGATTGTAAGCCGGTGGCCTGTTTTCTTCCTTCGATGTCCTACCCTAAACCCTAAACCCCACCTCGAACTGGGCGCCACTAGTTGACTTCATCCAGGTCCCAACGACCCCTGCCGCCTTGCTCACCAGGCAGAAGATGGCAGCTTAGCGGGCGCAGCCGTGGCGGTGAGTTGCCGCACAGCATCCGGTGGCCAGATGGTGAATGGCCTGCAGCATGGCTCTGCGAACTCGTTGCTGCTTACGGTCTCTGCTGCCAGCTCCGGCATCCATTGCATGAGCGTGCATTATTTCAGCAAGACTGAGCGGAATCTGGTGGTCGCTGTGGACGGAAGTGCCAGGGCGATCAAGATGCCCCCAAGTGGCAATTGGTGCTTTGAGGGTGGTGTCCCAAGCCAGTACTCCATCAATGTGAAGCTCACCGCAGGCCTCAACACAATCAAGTTCGAAGCGCTCCCTGCAGAGAAGGTGCCGATTCTGGATGGCATCCTGCTCGAGAAGCAGAACCCCAAGAAGGGCCTCATCGTCGGTAAGGACGTCGGCTTAGAGGATGCTTCCCACTTCGGGGAGTACATCTCCTGGTATTATCGCTATGATCCCACGGAGCCAAGTGAGATGCGTGACTGGGCCGCGCAGAACAACATCGAGTATGTGCCCATGAGCGGTTACGGTGGGATGACCTTGCTGAATAGCACGAAGTGTACTTTGCTTGCCCGTGCCGTGGGTCCAGCTAGAAATGTCTGCAACTACCAGGACGTTCTGAATACTGTGGCTTCGAACGACATGAGCCGCATAATTAAAGTACATCTTTGGCACCAACGAGCCATGGAATCCCAATGATGCCAACGTCACAGTTCCGGAGGGTGTGCACATTTGGACGACCTACACACAGCCAGTGGCGCAACAGCTTGGGTTGATGCTTTTGTCGCCAAACGTGGGCCGGAGCACCAGACAGTTGGATTGGATTGAAAAGTTTCTGAAGCTTTGCTTTGACACTGTGGGCTGCGATGTGGACCTGATCCGAGGGTCATGGTGCACGAGTACAAGTGCAAGGAGAGCTACTGGATCAGCAACTACGATGGCAACGGCTTCTTCTTCAAAGACTTGGGAAGCCGTATGGGCCGCTATGGAGGAAAGGATTGGGCGTCTTGGCTTGAAGCGCAGGAGATCTGGGTCTCCGAGACGAACTGCTTCTGGGAGACCACGCAGCCGCGCCCCAGCAACATTCAGCAGTGCAAGGCGGTGACCAACCAGCGCACATCCAGCCATGGAATCGGGCTCGCTGCAGTGGATGTGGACTACGCAACAAAAGAGTTGAACCCGACTGGCTTTCCACACATGAACCCCGTGTCCGCCACTTCTTGCTGAGCAAGGTTTTGGCAGTTTCGGCACTGCGCTGCATCTTTGTACAGGCTAAGAAATGCAAAAGGCGTGCGACATTGGCTTTCTGAGCTCGGCTGGTGTGCCCCACTTGCGGATACCTCGCTGAAGCCTCAGCTCCATGCACGATGCAAGGGGTGCCGGCAGATTGTTCAGGCCCGGGACTCGCTTGACAGTCGCAGAAGCTGCTGAGAAAACACCGAACGAGCAGTGTTCTGATTGGTCTGTCGATGCTGGCCGCGGCAGTGATGTTTGTTGGTGTTGGTGGTGTGTTTGCATGGCCATGCGATTGCAGCCAGTGCTTTTGCGGACACGCATGACTATGGTACCCTGTCATACCGGGAGCCTCAGCAAGCTTGACACTTTGATCTTCAAGCGTCAGCAAGAAGCAAACTTCAGCTTCCGGACTAATGTGTTGTAGAATTACGGCGCGTTTGAATTCAAATCTCTCATTGGCCCTCATGTTTCAGACCCCGGGGGCGCTCACCTGGTGCCTGCACTGTATGGCCCAGGAGGCAATCTTGGGGTTGAGGGATCCATGGTTTAGGGTTTAGGGTTTATATAGGGTTTAGGTTTAGGGTTTAGGGTGAGGCTGCCTTCGGCGTAGTGGCATAATGTGACATCGAGAGGACTTCTGTGGGAGGTCATAGGAATCATTCTTTTGGCCTTGCACGCAGGTGGAATCTGCCAATGAAGCTCTTGAAGATGTAGCAGAGCTGCGAGGATCGTCCGATGCTCGGTTCTTGAGTTGCCGAGATTGGCTGTGACCCCTAAACCCTCAGCTCCGAAACCCCGAATGACACTAATCTACACCCGAAGACCCTGAGACCCCAGCCCTGAAACCCTAAACCCTAGACCCTAAACCCTAAACCCTAAAAACCTAAACCCCTAAACCCCTAAACCCTATGGACCCTGCCTAAGCCGTGGTTCGCCAGGGCACCGCCTTCCGCGCCACCTGCGGCTCTACCAGCCACTGTAGGCTATAGTATTCGGGTTTGAGGGGTTTGGGGTTTAGGGTTTTCGGGATTAGGGGTTTGGGCCGGTTCGGGGGTTTGGGATGGGGATTTAGGGTTTCAGGGTTTTGGGTTGTTTAGGGTTTCAGCGGGTCTGGGGTTAAGGGAGTTTAGGATTTTTAAGGTTTAGGGGGTCAGGGGGTCTTGCCTGTTAACCCTAAACCCTAAACCCTAAACCCTAAACCCTAAACCCTAAACCCTAAACCCTAAACCCTAAACCCTAAACCCTAAACCCTAAACCCTAAACCCTAAACCCTAAACCCTAAACCCTAAACCCTAAACCCTAAACCATGCCTTAGGCCCAGTGTTTTTCGAGCAGTTTGAGTCGGGTCCAGCATCGGTGCCCCATCCGCTGGAGACCGAGTGGCTGGCCATCCTTAAGGGTTTTGCAGCGAAACCCCAACCCCAAATCCTTCCCATGGCCCCAAAATCTGAACCCTAAGCCCCTAAACCCTAAACCCCAAACCCTAAACCCTAAACCCCCAAACCTCAAGCTTACCCAATCTCCTCGGAGGCACTCTTCTGGGACTCGCTGTCCGAGGATGAAGATAGCAACCAGTGGTCCGTGGATGATTTCACGGAGTGCGCCCCCTTTAGCTCGTGGGCTGACGTTTGGCTGCGAGGACAGGGTAAGAGTTCCTAGAAGTTGTAGAAATGCACCACAAATTCGACGCTTCGACCCATTTTGCGGATGTCTCTGGGGAGCTGAGTCGGAGGTACACCCTCGACTCACAAGACACCTCAGTGAGCAGCACGCGGTGCCACGCGGGGTGCTCGGGGAACGTACCATCTACAGGGCTCAAACCCCAAAATTCCCAAGGTGTCACAGAGATGTCCGGATGTCAGGAAAGGATCATCCTCCAACAACATTGTTTCGCCCTTTTAAGATGTCACACTTCTTCGGCATCTCTCCAAGTCGGCCCCTAAACCCTAAACCCTGAATGAACCCTAAACCTCCTGTATGCCGGAACAGCCCCGCCCAAGCTCAGGGCTCTGATATGCCCAGGACAGGAGGCAACTCCCGGGCTCGGCCCGTGGCACGCAGTCCTCACCTCAGCTTGGGGGGGGGGGGGGGGGGGGGGCGGGGGTATACAATATAGTATAATATAATATAATATGATATGATATATTATAATATAGTATGTATTTAGTATAATATAATATGGTATAAGATAGTCATATATATATATATATATATCTGTATACACATGCATACATGCATACATACATACATACATACATACATACACACACTCATACATACATACATACATACATACATACGTACATACATACATAGGCCTCGGGTGAATTGGGCGAGAGATTCACAGAATCGCTTAGCGTTGTTTCCTAAGCTTTCGCCATAGCGTTTTAGGATCTTGAATGCGGCGCACTAGCCGGAGTCGGGCTTTAACAACAATTACTCTCTACCAAGGCCTATGGTTTAGGGATGTTTAGGGTTAGGGGGTTAGGGTCTAAGGTAAGGTTTAGAGTTGAAAAAAGGGCGGAAGGTTTTGCCAGCTTGAGTCTCGAGTCCCCGTTGCCTTGTCTCCCCACCCTTTGCTGATTGAAGTTGCAGCTTCAGTCTCGAGGCAGTAGCGTAGTCTCCCGCTCCTTGGTCCCCAGATTCGTAGATGATGGCAAGCCAGGAGACGGAGCTCGAAGTTCTGATTGTCAACGGAACCGACTATGAAATCGAAGTGAAGGTACATTCCAAAACAGTGAAGGGCGCCAAGATTTCGTTCCCCGTCAAGCCAGGGGCAAGAAAGACTGTGCTGACGCGGCAGCGACCCAGAATCGAAGTGGTCATGCTTGGCAAGACTTCCCAGCCGCTTTCCGTGCAGAATCTGCACGCCCAGTACACGATCACGGTGACGAATGTGAGTGGCGAGCCGAAGCTCACCTATGGAGGATTTGGGGAGTGTTCGCCAAGGAAACAGCATGACCCTTGTGAAATTGCCCTTCCCAGCTGCTTTCTGAGTTGATCTTCACTGAGATTGAGCCAAGCCCCGCGCGAAGCCTCTTGACATTTTCGTATTTTTCGTAGGATCCATTCCTGACAAAGTCACACCTAGGCTGGGCGTTTTATGCTTGCCGCTGTTTGCGCGGCATGTTTAGACCAGCGCGTTGTCGTGAAAGAAGCCGGCTTTCTGTGCGTTTCCGAAGCTTTTGCCTTGCTCCACCACTTCCCCCATCGCAAGGCATCTCATGTCTGGCCAACCATATCCTAGTCCCCATATACTACAACCCGAAACCCGAATCCCTAATCCACATATACTACTCAAACCCACCTGAACCCCCCCAAACCACCTTAAACCCTAAACCACCTAAAACACTAAGCCCTTAAACCCCTGAACCCCAAAACCCCCCCCAACCACCTAAAGCCCTAAGCCACCGACAGCCCTAAACCGCAGGTGCCCTCACCGCGGGGTCTTGGCCTATTTGGGCAGTTGGTGAACCGCGGCGAAGAGGCCCCTGAGATGGTTGGTTCAGGGTTTAGGGTACGGTTTAGGGGTTTAGGCTACCCCTGCGAACCGCCTACTCTCTCTCTCTCTCTCTCTCTCTCTCTCTCTCTTCATGTGCCGGACGCTCGAAGCTCCGGTTGAATTCCTTGCGTGCGGTAAGACAAACAAGTCCTTTGTTGAGGGGGCTTTATGGTCGCGAGACTACCAGACTACTTAGTCCATTTGCTCTTGAGAGTGGGTGCGTTGGCCGGCAGGGCTTCTGGCACATTTATAGAGATGACATCGTGTAGATCAAATCTCCATGTGATGCCAGAGCCTTGCGCTGTATCTCGATGGGGTGGGTTCGTGCCCTGCCTTGGTTCTTGTTGACAATTGGAGTGCTTTTCTGGATATACCTGACTGTGGACGTAGAACGCTGGGAAGTTAGTATTCTGCTCGATTGTGGCGCTGGACGAGGATTCCTGTGATGCATAGTGTGGCCTATCTGCACTTGGTCGAGTGCTGAGGCCTGAGAATTGTGAGTTTCACCTTGTGTGTGTTCATTGTTGTCTCCACCCAAATCTTGAAGCGCCCCCTCTGACCCCTCCCCCACAACATGTCGCGAAAGTTTGCCCAGGTCCCCGAACGTGTACCCACAGATCTCCTGCAAAGCTTGAGCATGGCAATCAAGAACTGGGATGATTCACGACTCAACGCTTAGCGGCCTTAGCATCTTGCTGTATTTGGGGGTTCACGACAATAGGGGTACCCATACGAAGGGGTTCCTAGAGTCAGGATGATCCTAGTTTGGGGTATATTCAGGGTACCTCTATTGGGGGAAATGCCCATTTCCTCATCTTGACTGATCTGGAGACATGTGCAAGAAGAGCCCATGCTCGCTAGAGGTATGCTATGTGATGACACGGCAGCAGGTCAATGCCAACGCACAGTCCAATGACGTAGCCTTCGGGCAAAGTAACTAGTAAGCTCAAAAATTGGAAGAATCATCTTGACGGTGCGTAAACCAGTCGTGCTCTTTCTCTTTTTCGGGATGAGAAGAGCTTCTGGGCTTGTGTGTGCAGCTGCAACCAAATACGAAGCTGAGGATGCGTTGCTCCAGGGGAGTGCTGTGTGAATGGTGGTGCGCCGGCGATGTATAGCTTTACCGTCTCTGGAGTTTGGTGCTATGCCGGCGGGGTCACTGCAAGCAAGACAGTGGAACTGCTGCTGGCTGCCGGCACCAACAGCATCAAGCTGAGCAACCCAAACCCTAACCTTAAACCCGAAACCCTAAACCTTAAACCTTGAACCTTAAACTTCCTTTCTACCAGAGACAGATGTCTTATCCTGTTCATGCCGCGGACGCTTTGGCTCAGGCGTTCTGCCGGCCTCCTTTTCTTGGTGTAGTCAACACTGATATCACCACTGATCTCTGGCACCCGTACCCATACCACCACGCTGGACAACCCAAAAGTCGAGAACATGTGAGGTTTATGGGGCTTAGGGTTTAGGGTTTAGGGCTAGGGTTTCGGGCTAGGGTTTAGGGTTTAGGGCTTAGAGTTTCTTGCCACAGCTCTTCCTCTCGCAAAGACTGGCCACCTGCAGCTGCAGAGTTTGCTTCCCTGCTGCAAGCGAACTCCTATGAGGTTGAGAGTTGTTCGGGTTTAGGGTTTAGGGTTTAGGGTTTAGGGTTTAGGGTTTAGGGTTTAGGGTTTAAGGTTTAGGGTTTGAGGTTTAGTGTCTAGGCTTTGGGGCTTTAGGTCTCTTGTTTTGATCACCCTCATACGAAGCTTAGTACGAAGAAGCTCCCCTCCCCCCTCCCCTCCCCCCTCCCCCTCCCCTCCCCTCCTCCCTCCCCTCCCCCCTCCCCTCTCCCCCCCCCCTCCCCCGTCCCCTCCCCCCCCTCCCCCCCTCCCCTCCCCCTCCCCCACCCCTTAAAGATTGAGGAACAACCTCGACCGCCAACCCCACCCCAAAAGCCCTCGGCCGGGACTGGACAGTAAGCCCCAGTTAGTTCATCCCTAAACCCCAAACCCTAAACCCTAAACCCTAGCCCCCAATTGTCCCAAATTTTCTCTCGACCCCTCAAACCCTTACGTCCAGATCGGCCCGTTGCAGTTATTGTGGGTGTTGCCGAAACACGAACTTGAACAACTTTGCAGATTTATAGAATGCGTATGAATGAAGCCCTTCTTAAACCCGCAGAAAATTCGGTTTCCACCCACCCCCGGTGCACCCAAAACCTTGTCCTCTCAACACCCCCCAAGCCCGGAACATCCCAAACGCTATGCCATGGTTTTGAGCTTGGGGTTTAGGGTTTGCACTTCACAGGGTAGGCCCTACATAATCCTTACAAAGCCATAAGAATCTACTTGTTATAGGGCCCCAAAAAGGGTTTAGGGTTTAGGGTTTAGGGTTTAGGGTTTAGGGTTTAGGGTTTAGGGTTTAGGCATTCATTGAGGGTGCGGCATCCCAGGCCATGGCTACCCTGGGTAGCCAGCCCGAGAGGCAAAAGGAAGTGGAATTTCGGGGCCCATCCTTTGGGGCTTCGGGTCGAGGGTTTAGGGTTGAGGGTTATGGTTTAGGGTTTAGGGTTTAGGGTTTAGGGTTTAGGGTTTAGGGTTTAGGGTTTAGGGTTTAGGGTTTAGGGTTTAGGGTTTAGGGTTTAGGGTTTAGGGTTTAGGGTTGATTGTCGATTGTTGATGCTAATTTGTGGTTGGGTTCTCATGGAGACCATATGGAGCCAGAAGGGTAACCCTGTTGTTTCTCTGGGTCTCTGGGATGTTTACTAAATGTTGCCGGCGATTGCTTCATCAGAGGAGCCTTGCTATGAGCAGGCTGCCGAGCTTCATTCTAAAGCCCTGGCTATGAATATCCCATGTTATGAACATGTTTGTGGATGGTTGAAAACCTTAATCCCTAAACCCAAAACCCTACAATCCCCAGATGGTCTTTGTGGTGTCCAGGACCCACAGTCATACCACTTCTACAGAAACATGTTGGGGGGGGGGGGGTTAGGGGGTTAGGGTTTAGGGTTGAGGGTTTAGGGTTTAGGGTTTAGTGTTGAGGGTCGAGGGTTGAGGGTTTAGGGTTTAGATGTTCTTATACTAACAGTCCTTCGTAGGACTATAATGGGGGGGTGGGGGGGTACTAGAATCCCTAGTAAGGACATGAGAGTTTTTTTTAAATACTTAATCAGGGACCCCAAGAGGGCACGGGTTTTCGGTCAGCCCCCTCTCCTTATGCAGTTAGGGTTTAGGGTTTAGGGTTCAGGGTTTAGGAGGGTTCAGGTGTTTTCAAGTGTTCTAGACTTTGACCTCAGCCCGCTTTGACATGAACTTCAGAACAGCTTCTCCCTAGGTCTTGCCAGGGTTTCGGGTTTAGGGTTTAGGGTTTAGGGTTTAGGGTTTAGGAATGAAGCCTGATGTTCTGGTGCTGGGTGCAGGTGTCGAGGAGTCCGAGCCCCCTCAGCGAGCAAGGCACTCAGGCATGTGCCACCTGGAAACCCTTTAGGGTTAAGGGTTAACGGTTTAGGGTTTAGGGTTTCGGGTTTCGGGTTTCGGGTTTCGGATATAGGGTTTAGGGTAACCTTCCGATTGTACCCCCTCCCTCAGCTAAATTGTGCGCAATTCCCATTCGCTCTAAAGCAACACCCAAGCGGAATCTTCCTTGTGGGGCTGGTTTGGGCTCACGTAAAGCTCTACCGTAGGCCTCGACGGCTGTTCCCGTTGGGACTCCGTGACCCTTTCAAAGATCCTGTAAGGGGATATTGGGGCACACTAGAAGTATATGAAGTAGGGTTTATATTACTGTTGTTGGTGAGTGTATATAAGGTTCCTTTTTAAAATTGGTGCGTGTATATACCGGGTGTCCTTCTCAGGGTACAAATATATGCCCTACTTCATATGAAAGGGCTTCAGGGTAGTTCATCTCCCTCCCAGAACCTTAAGTTTCACGTAGCAGGCTCAGGGGTAAGCCCTCCTAAACTCCACTCTACTACTGTAGTGCTGGGCGTAGGTACTCCGGCCTGTTTGGTATCTGGGTAAGTAAACCCGAAACCCGAAACCCTAAACCCTAAACCCTTAAACCCTAAACCCTTAACCCTTAACCCTTAACCCTTAAACCCTAAACCCTAAACCCTTAAACCCCTAAACCCTAAACCCAAACCCTAATGGTATCTGGGTAAGTAGCGAATGGCAGAAGGCCAGGCCCGAACCATGAGCCCTGCCACTGGGCCCTGTCATATGGGAGTTTACGAAAATAAGGGAACCCGATTATCATGTTTGCCCTTGTTGCCCGTGGGTGCCCTAAACCCTAAACCCTAAGCCCTAAACCCTAAGCCCTAAACCCTAAACCCTAAACCCTAAACCCTAAACCCTAAACCCTAAACCCGAGTCTTTTCTGCGACTGTCAGTCGGCGACCCTGGAGCCTCTAAGCCGCCCCCCAAGGCAGAGTTCTTCGCGCGCACCACGGAAGGCCTTTGAAAGCTGTGGGCGGCGCCCTCACGATTTTTTGGGGTTTTGGGGTTTAGGGTTTGGGGTTTAGGGTTTAGGGTTTAGGGTTTAGGGTTGGGGGCTTTAGAGGTCTATGGGCCGCTCCTTTCGAGCTTTCTGGGCTCTATTTTTCGGGTTTCAGGAGACGTGGTTTGGCGGGTGTAGAGCTGGTGGGTCCGAAGCCCTAAACCCTATCCCTAAACCCCTTGGGTTTTCGTCTGTTGTTGTGTCTTGTTGGAGGTGTTTGGGATGGTCTTGGTCTTCAGGACATTACGGCCGTTTCGCGGGTTTGGGGTTGAGGGTTTAGGGCACCCTAAACCCTGAACCGTAGACCCTAAACTCTAAACCCTAATCCCTAAACCCTAAACCCTAAACATGTAGGGTGTCGTGTTCCATCGCTTCCCCCCCCCCCCCCCCCCCCCCCCCCAATTTCACAGCACACTGCGGCAAAGCATCCTTCCCAGAAGCTTGGGTGCTTTGGGCCTCGCCGTGGACGAAACCCAAACGCCATACTATAGGGGTCGAAATAATTAGGGTTTAGGGTTGAGGGTTTAGGGTTTAGGGATCCGAATAAATACTAATAAGATTCCCTTGTGGTCCCTTCGTAATTTTGCTCTAATGACTCCCCAAAACCCTATTCGAGTCCTTCAGGCCCCTATATGAAACTAGGACCCAGAGTAATTAGGCCCATATTCCCTTTGCCTCTTTGGGAAGGTTCTAAAATGACGCCTTTCCCTTTTTGTCAGGGTTTAGGCTGCCTTAACAGTCCTTTGAAACCACAAAGGGCACCTTTTTTTCCTAGGTTTCTCTTGGGTCTAGTGAAGGTAGGGCTTGTAGGGGTTTTGACAAAGCCCTACAAGCCCTGTATTTAGGGTTTAGGGCTTAGGGCTTGGGGTTTAGGGTTTAGGGTTTAGGGTTTAGGGTTTAGGGTTTAGGGTGCAAACCCTACATGTTGTTCAACCCAAGGTGCACTAGCTGCCCTGTGCGGACTGCTGTTGAGCCATGTGCATGGCTCGGGCCTTAGCCTGCTTGGGGTTTAGGGTTTAGGGTTTAGGGTTTAGGGTTGAGGGTTTAGGGTTTAGGGTTTAGGGTTTAGGGTTTAGGGTTTAGCGTTTAGCGTTTAGGGTCTAGGGTCTAGGGTCTAGGTTTAGGGTTTAGGGTTTAGGGGGGTTAGGGTTTTGGGTTTGAGGGTTTAGGCGGTTAGGTACATAGCTGCGTATTCTTAAGTGCCTCGCTTCAACAAGTAGCCTGTCATAGCTTGCTCATATCAGGGGGGATTGGTCACAGCATCCTATTCCACAGCTGGCCAAGGCAGTTTTGCGGCATTCGTTCCCGTTTTTCCGCGGCAGCGGGGTGCACGAGTGAGGCAACTGCCAGGGGGTCAGTGTCAGGGAATTCTTATTGAAGAGGGTTTAGGGTTTAGGGTTCAGGTCATGGTTGTTTTTGTGACAGTATTTTGGATCTAAAACAAGTAGCAAGATGCACACTACCGGTCAGAGAGGGATTTCGCTACTCAAGCAGCAGTTGCAGTCAGTAGAATTTCAAGGCCCAAGGTAGTCCTCAGCCCTAGCCCTTCTCTGTTAGGGGCTTCTTACAGGGCTTCAGCTATTCCCTGTTTTCAGAGGGCTCTGTTTGTGGCAACGATCAATGGAAGAAAGGCGCTGCCAAAATGGGCCCTAAACCCCAAATCCGGAACCCGGAACCCTAAGCTCCCCTTAGCCCGAAACGCCAAGCCTGGTTTCGGTCAACTTCGACCTGCTTCAGGCGCCCTCATGAGAGCGGGGGGCGGGGTTGCCCGGGAAGTTCAAGCGCTACTGAATGCACAAGCTGCACTAGAACACACAAGGTTGTGGCACTGCACGAAGTGGTGGCGCAGAAGCCTGCTGCGGAGAAAGTTGTACTCTTCTGGGGACGAGCTACCTGGAATCACTAAGTACTCTTCTGGCGACACAACTGGAGGAGAAGCAAAAGACACTCGCTGGCTACCAGGAGGCGGAGGAGAAGTTGAATGCGCAAATTAGCGGCTTCTACCCCTTCGCTGGCGCATGCTTTGAGGGCGGCAACGTTTCTAGCATGTCACGGGTTCGGGTGGGGTGGGGGGCGGGGAGATTTTGACCCATCACCCCAAGATGATGAACTCTCCCCCTACCCTAAGCTCTACGTTCACACTCTAAACCCTGAACCCGGAACCCTAAACCCTAATCCCTAAACCCTAAACCCTAAACCCGAAACCCGAACCCTAAACCCCTAAACCTCTTGTTGGGTTCTAGGGTTCCCCCCCCCCCCCTCCAATGTCTACCGGCACAATCCCTGGAGCTCCGAATGCTTCTGGAGGGAACCACTGGAATAGGGGTTTAGGGTTTAGGGTTTAGGGTTTAGGGTTTAGGGTTTAGGGTTTAGGGTTTAGGGTTTAGGGTTTAGGGTTTATGTAGGTCTAGGGCTTCGGATGTTGGATTTGGGGCTTGGGGTAGCCCTAAACCCCTGCGCCCCTAACCCCCTTAACCGACACCCCTAAAACACCTAGGGTTTAGGGTTTAGGGTTTCGGTTTTAGGGTTTTGGGTAACCCCTAAAACCCCTAAACCCCCACACCCTAAACTCCACCCGCCCTCCCAACTCTCTTGATCGGACAAGGCTTCTAGCTGCAGAGTCCGAGCTCTCGTCCAAGAAGGCCAGGCAGTGGACTTTCTTTTTTTCAGGGCTTCAGCGGGAGGAGCCCTAAACCCTAAACCCTAAACCCTAAACCCTAAACCCTAAACCCTAAACCCTAAACCCTAAACCCTAAACCCTAAACCCTATTTCCTAAACCTAAAACCCTAAACCCTAAACCCTAAACCCTAAAACCCTAAACCCTAAACCCTAAACCCTAAACCCTAAACCCTAAACCCTAAACCCTAAACCCTAAACCCTAAACCCTAAACCCTAAACCCTAAACCCTAACCCTACAGGGGTTTATGGGGCTTGGGATGCCCTGAAGGCCGATCTCGTCGAGCGCCTCAAGGCAGAGGCCAAAGCGGCCAAGGAGGTATCCTGGGCAGGTTTAGGGTTTAGGGTTTTGGGTTTAGGGTTTAGGGTTTGGGGTTTGGGGTTTAGGGTTTAGGGTTTAGGGTTTAGGCTTTGGGGTTTAGGGTTTAGGGTTTAGGGTGGGTGCGGTGCCCTTAAAGCATTTTCGGGTTCAGGGCTCAGGATTTAGGGTTTAGGGCTTCGGGCTTAGGGCTCAGGATTTAGGGTTTAAGGCTTGGGGCAGCCTTGAAGCGTTTTTGATTGTAGGGCTTAGCAATTAGTAAGGGGTTTCTAGTGGTATATGGGGTTCAGGGTTTAGGGCTTTAGGATTGAGGGTTAGAGTTTAGGGTTTCAGGGCAGGGCTTTAAGATTTAGCAAATGTTAAAGAACATAGTGAGCCCGTGTGCCAGTGAAAGTCTATCTGAACATTTCGGGCGCCAGCATCCCGTGTTATTTCGTGCGCCCGTTTCGATTCGCTCAGCATACTAATATTGGTGCAGCACCCGGAGCACCCGAAACCCTAAACCTTAAATCCCAAACCCGGGAACAGAAGCTCTTGGCAGCCCAGTGGTACCCTTTTCCCTTTTTTGGGGTTCAAGGTTCCCTTATGAAGTAAGGTCTTTCTTGACAGTCAATTTCCTGTTGCTGGATTCCTTTCGCTGCCCTCTTGCCGGGTCGGCCCTGGAGAATTTTCCCTTATCGTCTTAAGAGAACCCTAAACCTGAAACCCTAAACGGTAAGAGGCTGGTATTTTAGGAACATTTTTTCCGAAGGCTTAAGAGATTCAACCTAAAAATTAGGTTGTAGCCAAGGTCTAAAAGTAAAAGGACCTTGCAATGGGAATCCCAAACAGGGAACACCAAGAATATAATAGGAATGTCATACGAACATACCGACCAGGGTCCTTATATTCCCTTCATATTTCTGCTCTATCCTTGGGGTTCCCTGTTTGGGGTTCCCTAAACCCGAAACCCGAAACCCGAAACCCTAAACCCTAAACCCTAAACCCTAAACCCTAAACCCTAAACCCTAAACCCTAAAGGGTCATTAAGCTGAAGAAGGGAAACTTCAAGTGCGACTTCCCTAACCAAACCTTTTTCATCCTCGGCAGCCCCTGACCCGAAACCCGTATTGATAAAAGGCAGGGTTTACGGTTTAGTAAGGGTTTAGGGTTTAGGGTTTAAGGTTTAGGGTTTAGGGTTTAGGGTTTAGGGTTTAGGGTTTAGGGTTTAGGGTTTAGGGTTAGTCTTTGTGCATCTACGAAGAGGGAAGGCGAAGAAGCACAATGACAGCAAGTACAATGAATGTGGCAGAAGCATCTGAAGAATGCCTCATCCCAAATCCCGGCAACCAAACATTCGTTTTGCCGATTTGTATACACATTCATATGGGGGCTTCCGAAATTACGGGGGGTACCTTATTGGGGTCCTTATTTTCAGGTCATCCTACTATTCAGGGGTCTATATTATATAGGGGTCCCTGATCTGCAGAAACTCATATTGAATGCTTAGCATTAGCAGCTGAGTGAGCACACTTTACATGTTTTGGGACACTATATTCCCCTGTAGGACTGAAAGTGTACACTTCTTGGGGGGCTTATGAACTCAGCAACTAAGAATGCGAAAGGGGACGTGCCAGGCACGGTCGAAGGGCTTTGCGACGAACACGCAGATGCTTGGCCCTTCTTGTGGCTCATGGTCTCTTCAGGGTTTAGGGTTGAGGGGTTTAGGGTTTAGGGTTTAGGGTTTAGGGTTTAGGGTTTAGGGTTTAGGGCTTGTAGCTTCAAACCAGCAGCTCTAAGCCCAACGACTAAAGCCTAAAGCCTTCTACCCTAAGTTTTCGGGCGTTGCAGACTTTGGGGTTCGTTCTGGTTTCGGTTATGGCCTTTTGCTGCGGCGAACACCTAGGCCCCCACCCCACCCCACCCCGAACATAGGGGTGTTGCGCCTTTTTTTCTTTTACTGGTTCTGATCGAGGCTTGCAGTGATCTTTTTCTTGAAATGCAAGCCGCACTCCTTCGTGCTGTGGCTGGGTTAGAAGTGTTCCTCCTGGACGGCCATAAATGCCGGCACATCCAAAAGGAGTTTCAGTGCCAGCTCCGGAGATTGAACCAAGCAGTCCGTGCGGCTGGCAAATCAAATGGGTCGGCCTGCCTTCTCATACTTTGTGTCGCCCTTGGCGGGTGTTGGTGCTGGAACAACCTGGCAATTCCTCTTTGGAGTTCTACCCGGCTTTCCGACACGTCCTTACTGGCATGGCCACGCACCGGCAAATCAGGGCGGCTCCTGTCTTCCCATAGAGAACTTATTAAAAATTTTTGCTTGGGTTCCATGTATCTTCTCTACCTTTGCTATGCTTATAGTCACGGCCCGGAAACTCCCAGCTCCACCCCCCCCCCCCCCACCCCCCAAGTTGCCAGCTTGCCCTAAGCAGTCTAAAACTAAACCCTAGACCCTTGACCCAAAACCCTAAACCCTAAACCCTACACCTGCGCCAAAGGCTGCCCTGCAGCCCTCCCTAACATAGGCCCTTAGCCGTTACTGCAAGAACTGTCGGAACTGTTCGCGACCCAAACCCCTAAAGGTCTACAAGTCCAAAAAGCCCTCAAAACTCCCAGGGTTCAGGGTTTAGGGTTCGGGTTTAGGCTTTATATAGGGTTTAGGGTTTGGGGTATCCGAATCCCTTGAATCCCTAGCCTTTCGCCTAAGATTCTGACCTTTAACATAAACCCCAAACCCCAACACCCCAGCCCTGTAACCCTAAAATCCCTAAGCACTCAGCCCCAAACCCTAAACCCTAAACCCTAACCCCTACACCCTAAACCCTACACCCTAAACCATAAACCCTAAAACCCTAAACCCTGCACCCCACACCCTAAACCCTAAACCCTAGACCCTAGACCCTAGACCCTGGACCCTAGACCCTAGACCCTAAACCCTAAACCCTAAACCCTAAACCCTAAACCCTAAACCCTAAACCCTACCACCCCAAGGAGCTTGGAGCGCCTCATCGAGAGCTTTGACTCCGAGAACCTGGGCCCAGTGGAGGCCCGGAGAAAGCCTGAGGTGCTCTTTTCCCAAGTTAGGGTTAGGATCTGGGGTTTAGGGTTTAGGGTTTGGGGTTTAGGGTTTGGGTTTGGGGTTTGGGGTTTAGGGTTTAGGGTTTCGGGTTTAGGCATTTTCTTTGACTTGGTATGTGTAGCCCCAGGCCCAGGCTCGGTTTAGGGTTTAGGGTTTGGGTTTAAGGCTTGCGGTCCTAAACCCCATTTCATTTGTTGTTCTAGCATCTGCCTTCGCTTTGCAGCAAACACCTTTGCCGGGCTCCTTCCTCAACAGCACAAACAGGCCGGGCTCCAGCCTCCAAAGGGATTAGGGTTTAGGGTTTAGGGTTTAGGGGTTAGGGTTTAGAGTTTAGGGTTTAGGGTTTAGGGCCAAAGTTTAGGGTTTAGGGTTTCGAGACGGCTTGTCGAGCAAAGGGCACCCTTTCCACCAGCGGCTGGCAACTCCACAGGGGAGAGGCACTCGAGTAGATCTGCCGCTGTACTCATGGGTTCCTCTACTATCCCCCCTCTATATATATTTCCCCCTTTTTTGGATTCCCCCGATAACGAAGGCTCTTTAGGGATAATTATGCAGGTTATTTAAGGGGGGGAACCAGGGGGGGTGGGGGGTCGGAGGGGGGGGTAGTATAGAGGGAAGTAGTAGGGAAACCCTTGATGATGTACTTGAGCAATGACAAATTCTCGGTGGGCATTTGGGACATGTTATATTTCCCCTTATTGGGTGTTAAGAGGATCATATCCAGGAAAATGTTTCTCTTTTTGGGTTTAAGAGGATCATATTCAAGAATTTTTCCAGAGCTATCCTAGAATTTCATAAGCACACAAATGGACCACCCTAAACCCTAAACTCTACACAGTACCATGCAGCGCTTTCCTGCGTAGCCTGGTTTTTTACCCCTGGCTTCAAGGCTTCAGCCCATTGTTGGAACAAGTAGGCAGATTGCACTACAGAAGCAGCTGAGTGTTGTCAAAGCATCTTCACCAGTGGAACAGAGTGGAACATCGCAAGTCATGGCGTAAAATAACCAGTGCAAACACGACCTCAAAGTTGAAGTTGCCACGAGGACCAGTAAGACTCCCGGTTCTATTCTTTTATTCTTGAAGCGCGGATATCTAGCGAAACACGATTGAAGCGCAGCCCACTCTTATTTCTTCAGAGCATGACAATGGAAACAACGAGTAGAACCGACAGTAATGTCCAGGCAAGAATCCGAACGGGAGTCCCATCGCCATGCTCCTGACCGTTGCCTTGCTGAGTGGAAAAGATGTGGTCGTAGAAGCCGACGATGCTTGGACCATCCACGAGCTGAAGCAGAGAGCGCAAGTTAAACTGGGACTTAGCCTCTTGGTGGCCCAGTGGTACCCTTTTCCCTTTTTTCGCTTCAAGGTTCCCTTAGAAAGTAGCCATCGCGAACCCTAAACCCTAAACCCTAAACCCTAAACCCTAAAAAAGGGTGCCCTCATCACCATATAGTTGCTGGGCTACCAAGGTCTCGGTAAACTGATGACTTTGTCCGGTGAGGTCTTGTCAAAGAAGTTAACCATCCACCGGTGCAAGTCGCAGGGCACGCTGTGCCTAAGTTATAGTTTCGGTAACATTTTGGATATTTTGTGAGGGTACTTAAACCCCAATAAGGAGTTTTGCGTTTTAATCTTTAAGGCTATCCCCTAAGCCCTAAGCCCTAAACCCTAAACCCTAAACCCTAAACCCTAAACCCTAAACCCTAAACCCTAAACCCTAAACCCTTATCCCAACCATGAACCAGGTGCGATGGAGATACCTTGACCGCCACAGTTCGGGCCGAGGTGATGCAACTCATGTCAACCTCGGAAGCCTTTTGCGCGCTGCGAAGCTCGGTAGGCCCTGTGGAGTGTTACCCCTTCCTTGGGTTTAAGACGATCATATTCAGGAATGTGTTTTTTTCAGGGTGTTTAGCCTAAACCCGAAACCCGAAACCCTAAACCCTAAACCCTAAACCCTAAACCCTAAACTTACGGGCCATCCTAGGAAAGGATGGCTCGGCTATTGCTTGGGGCAACCCCCTGATGGGTGGTGACTGCTCCTTGGTGGAACATCAGTTGCTTGGTAGCCCAGTAGTACCCTTTTCCCTGTTTTGGGGTTCAAAGGGTTTAGGGTTTAGGGTTTAGCGTTAAGGGTTTAGGGTTTAGCGTTAAGGGTTTAGGGTTTAGGGTTTTTAGGGTTTAGGGTTTAGGGTTTAGGGCTACTAAGGTTGCTAGATGTCAAGAGCGTTGCAGCGAGCAACAGTGCCTTCGCAGCTGTTTGCGGCGGCACAGTGGTCGCCTGGGGTGACCCCGGGGGTGGTGGGGATTGTAGCCTCGTGCAGGATCCTTGGTAGCCCCAGTGGTACCCATTTCCCCTTTTTGTGGGGTTCAAGGTTCCCTTGTGCGGTAACCAACCCAAAAAAGGGTGCCCTTTATTGTAACACGGTTACTGGGATACTAAGGATCAGTTGCAAGAGGTACAGCAGGTCCAGTCATCCAGCGCAGCCTTCGCAGCTCTAAGAGCTGATGGCCGGGTTATCACCTGGGGGAATCCTGAGAGTGGTGGAAGTAGCGACACTGTTCAGGAGGAGCTCCATGATGTCTTTCAGATTCAGTCAAACTATGAAGCCTTTGCTGCTCTAAGACGGGATGGGCGTGTGGTAACCTGGGGTCATGCAAATCATGGTGGAGACAGCCGGCGAGTGCAACAACAGCTACGTGGAGTCATTGAGATTCAAGCCTCTTCGGCTGCATTTGCTGCCACCCTGGCGAACGGCTCAGTGGTGCCCTGGGGTCCTCCCCACTTCGGCGGAATCTGTCGAGATGTTGAGGGTCCCTTGCGACATGTAGTGAAGATTCAGAGCAACGTTGCAGCCTTTGCCGCAATCCAACAGGAAGGCACTGTGATTACCTGGGGAAACGGGGACTTCGGTGGGAACTCCAACAAAGTTCAAGGCAGGCTGCGGGACGTTCGCGAGATCCAAGCATCCGAATCTGCGTTCGCTGCCATTGTGGGGGATGGATCCGTCGTCACTTGGGGGAATCCCATGTGTGGTGGCGACTGTGGCTCTGTTCATTCCCAGCTGCAGCATGTCACGCAAATCCAAAGCACAGGCAATGACACTGTTGGTGCCTTTGCGGCACTTCTCCAGGATGGTTCAGTCGTCACTTGGGGCTCATCGCAATGTGGTGGTGATAGCAGCGATGTCCAGCAACAACTGCGCGGAGTTCACGAGATCCAATCCACCAAGGCGGCCTTTGCCGCCCTTCGCCTGGATGGTTCCGTGGTATCCTGGGGCAGCAGGTGGTCGGGAGGTGATAGCCGGAGTGTCCAACATCAGTTGCGAGAGGTGAGAGGGATCCAGGCTACGGACTATGCCTTTGCCGCAATACTTACTGATGGCTCTGTGATAAGCTGGGGAAGTCCGGACACAGGAGGTGACTGCAGCTCTGTAGATCTCTAGCCCCAAAAACAAGCCGCTGGAGGGCTTAGGGGGGGCTGCTAAAGGCCTTGTGTGGGGAAGGCGGGCCCAAAAGACGCTGAAGCCTCACCACCCTGGCTCCTTATGATCCTAAACCCTAAACCTTAAACCCTAAACCCAAAACCCTAAACCCGAAACCCGAAACCCTAAACCCTGAACCCTTGATTTCTGGGAGGCTGCTGAGAAGCTTCTCACCACCGAGGACCTGGAGTACAATGCCACCTGGCTGTCAGCTTGCCAAGATTTAGGGCTTCGCCCCGGTGAAGAATGGGTTTAGGGTTTAGGGTTCAGGGTTTAGGGTTTAGGGTTAGGGTTTAGGGTTCAGGGTTTCGGGTTTAGGGTTCAGGGTCAGTGGTGCCCGCTTTTATACCCCCTTTGCAGCCCCCCTTGAATCCCCCCGCCCCCTTATACCCCTTCTAGCCTTAGCCCTCATCCCCAGTATATCCCCCTTATAGCTTCCAAGGTGCAGGGTAACGGGGGGGGGGGGGGGGCACTGTCGGTTGATGCGTTCTGTCCTAGGTGCGGGCGTCCCCGCACTTCGTGGCTTTTGGATTAGGGTTTAGGGTTTAGGTTTAGGGTTTAGCACCAAGTGCGGAACTGTTGTTGCTTTCTGGACGTCTGGGTTCCAGAGGTTCGAATCTGTCGTCGGTCTATTCTGGCATTATGGGTTTGGGTTTTTGTGGATGGGGCTTAACATTTTAGGGTTTTGGAAGCTAAGCCTACCCTGAACTCTAAACCCTAAACCCGATAAACTCGCCCTCAGCCCAAAACCCCTATAGCCCCTAACCCCTAAACCCTAAGCCCTGAACCCTCAACCCTAAACCGTAAACCCTAAACCCTAAACCCTAAACCCTAAACCCTAAACCCTAAACCCTAAACCCTAAACCCTGAGCCCCGCACCCCGATGCCGAGGACGCAGTGCTGAAGAAGCTGCAGAAAGCTATGGGGCGCAGTTGGGGCCTGAGGTACGAGACTTCGTTCCTATAGAGAGTGTAGGGCTTTGGGGGTTTAGGGTTTAGGGTTTAGGGTTTAGGGTTTAGGGTTTAGGGTTTAGGGTTGCGGGGGGGGGGGGGGGGGGGGGGGGGGGGGGGGGGGGGGGGGGGGGGGGGGGGGGGCGGGGGAGAGGGGGGTTCGGGGTTTGGGGGTTTAGGGTTGCAAAACATGAACCTTGCAAGGGCAATGTAGGGATTTTAATGTCTTTTTTTGGTGGGTTCTTAAGCAAATAGTAGGAAGTCTGAAGAGCTCGCCGAGGCCTAGGACGTTGGACTAAAGCGCCTTTTAGCAGAAATCTCCCAAACGCCGACTGATTGGGGAGGTCCTGCTTGGAGCCTGTATGTTCGGGCACCAAATCCGGTTCGCTTCTAGGCCTCCTGAAAAAAGCAGACTGCAACTTGCTACGAAGTTTCTTGGAGGGGTCAATGTTCAGGATACTCATAAACGGAGGGATTCGAAGTGGGAAACTTCTACGATGGTCTACGCCTGGGACGAAGACACCAGGTTACCCCCTTGAACAAACCTTAATTCAGCCCTAAATAGCCTTAATTATGGCGGGAAGCTAGTGGGGAGAGGGGGTATAGAGGGGGGACCCGAAACCCTAAACCTTAAACTCTAAACCCTCAGCCCTTTTGAGGCCTGCAACGCGGCGATCACGACTCACTTCACCTGACCGCTGGGGGCTAATTGCTCGGGGTCGCTTTCACGATGTCTTTCGGCCGACACCCAACAAATACCGTAAACCCTAAACCCTAAAAACCCTGAGCCCTAAACCCGAAACCCGAAACCTTACTAGGATGCCCAGTAGTACCCTTATTCCCTTTTTGGGGGGGTTTAGGTTCCCTTATAAACCCCTTTAAGCAAAAAAGGGTACCCTTTTTAAGCCTAGGTTACTGGGCAGCCTAGCTTATAAAGAACCCTAAGCCTAAGCCCTATAACCCTGAGCTGACGTTTGGTGCTTAGGGTGCGGAGATTGGGTAGGGGTTCAGAGTTCAAGGTAAGTAAGCCCCTCCTGAATTGCGCCGCAGAAGACTGGTCATCTTAATTGTCAGACAGTGGCTGCCACCCCCCAAAACCTGAAGCTCAAGACCCCTAAGCCCTGAAAACCCTAAACCCCTGAACCCCTAGGCACCGAAACCCTAAGCCCTGAGGCTCTAAACCCTTGAAGCCCATGGCAAAGCCCCACATGTCAAGCCCCAATCCGGGATACACGCCTCAAGCTGCACTGAGCCGATGTGCTCAGAGCCGCCATTCTTGGGGGAAGCCCTAAGCCCCAAAGCCTTCGCCCTAAACCCTAACCTCAAACCCCTAAACCCCTAAACTTATAAACCCCTCAACCCTAAACCCTAAACCCTAAACCCTAAACCCTAAACCCTAAACCCTAAACCCTAAACCCTAAACCCTAAACCCTAAACCCTAAACCCTAAACCCTAAACCCTAAACCCTAAACCCTAAACCCGACCCCGAGGTGGAGAAGCTGTTGCAGTGGCCAGGGCTGGAGCCCACCCAGGAGGAAGCCGAGGCAAATAAAAACGCGCAGCCCCGGTCTCAGGCTGTTTGGGGGGTTTAGGGTTTAGGGTTCAGGGTTTGGGGTTTAGGGTTAGGTGTTTGGGGTTTGGGGTTTAAGGTTTGGGGTTTGGGGTTTTGGGTTTTGGGGTTTAATTAAGAGTTCAGGGGTTTAAAGTTTCAGGGTTTTGGGCTTTGTAAGAGTTTTAGGGTTGAAGGGTTTAGGAGTGTAAGTTTAAGGGGGTTTAAGAGGTCTAGGGGCCTGGGGGTTTAAGAGTCTTAGGGTTTAGGGGGTTCGGGATTTAAGAGTTTTAGGGCTTGTGAGATTAAGAGTTTTAGGGTTTGGGGGGTTCGGGGTCTACTGTAGGGGTTTAGGGTTCAGGGTTTGGGTTGAAGAGCTTGGGCCCTTCTTGTCTGTGCCTATGCATTCATCCTTGCAGAATTAGAAGCATGGGCCCCCCTAGTCATCAGCAGAGTTATAAGGACCCTAAATTGGGTTATAAGGATCCTAACTTAGGTGTTTAGGGTTTAGGGTTTGGGGTTTAGGGTTTAGGGTTTAGGGTTTAGGGTTTAGGGTAATCAACTATAGTTTGTGGAGTAAGGGGGCCCCCTCCTTGTAGGGTGTCCACACAGGGCTGATCCCGGCCCCTACGCGCCCCACCCCTGGTTTCAAATGTATTTTGAGGGCGGAGGGTTTTAGGGTTTAGGGTTTAGGGTTTAGGGTTTAGTGTTTAGGGGGGAATGAATGCCAGAAAGAGAGCAGTCATATAGCTCCATCCCTTGGGCAACTTAGATGCGAAGCCCCATACTCCGCGTTGGCCCCCAAGGTCTCTCCCGTTGTTTTTCACGATGTTTACGGCGGCGCGGGTCTGAGTTCAGCCTGCAGTTATTTCTTGTTGGGGGCTGTGGGTGTGTGTGGTGCAGGGTTAGGGGGGTTTAGGGTTTAGGGTTTAGGGTTTAGGGTTGAATGCCCTGATTTAATCGAACCCCTAGCCCCTGGAGCCTTGCCTCTTCGGGGACGAACTCGGAACAACCGCTTGGCTCGAACCAAAATGCGGGATGGTGCCTGCCTAGGGTTGAGAGGTTTGGGGGCTTTAGGGTTTTGGAGTTCAGGGTTTTAGAGTTTAGGCTTTGCGGTTCCTGGGGGGCAAGAGAATGAGCCAGGCAATGGGGCTAAGCCCTAAACCCTAAACCCTAAACCCTAAACCCTAAACCCCTGAACCCTCAAGTGGAGAAGGTGTGTTCATTGCCTTGGCGTTTGGGGGCGCGGCACCTCAAACCTAAGCCCTCTGAACCCTAAACCTTACACCCTACACCCTAAACCCTAAACCCTAAACCCTAAACCCCCCTGGTAAACTTGAAGCCGTAACTCTGAAATCCTGAAGCCTCTCAACTCGAATCCTGAGGCTTCAGAGCCTGAAAGCAAATCTGGGCACAGCCTTGTAAGACCTAAACCCTAAACTCTCGTAAGCCCTATAAACTCTGAAATGTAGGGTTTAGGGTTTAGGGTTTAGGCTTTCGGGTTTAGCCTTAGGGCGTTTCTTGAGTTGCCCGGGGGAGGTACGCGCCTACTGCAACGACAACGCGGATTTCTTGGACATGATCCAGATCGGCACGACTCTAGAGGCCCATGGGCGCTTCTGAGGGGAGGGTACCCTTGGGGGTTTCGGGGTTAAGGGTTCAGGGTTTAGGGTTTAGGGTTTAGGGTTTTGGGAGTTTCAGGGGCCCTTAGTATGGTTCCTTACCTTCTGGAAAGGGTTCTGAAGTATGCCATTCAAGCGCCCATATAAAGGGACCATTTAAGCACCCTAAGCAAAGGGGACCTTGGCTTATAGGGGGGCTATTTTCATGGGGTTTCTACCTTGGACCCTTGAGGTTGTACTCTTGGCTTAGGGGGCCCACTTTCAAGATCTAAACTAAGGAGAAGAAGGGCCATATTAGGGTCTGGAGTTTAGGGGTAAGGGGTATATGAAGGGAACCTCCTGGGGGCACATCCTTAGGGTCCAAGTATGACTCCATTGAACGACTCAGGTGTTGACTATTCCGTATCAAGAGCCCTGTTGTATTCAGCATGATGTTTGGGGGCAGCTTTTTCCATACCTATCATGCTGCACATGGAATCTTCCCTACAAACTCAGCACCAAAACCCCCGAAAAGTCCCTCAGTGCCTGAGTACTTAAATCCCCTGAACATCCCTGAGAACCCCTAAACTCCCTGACAACCCTAAACCCCTTGAATGCCGAAGCCCCCCCCCCCCAAAAAAAAAAAAAAAACCTTAGCCCTCGAAGCCCCCAAAAAACGCCCTCAAATCCCTGCATGCCTAATGCCGCAAAAGAAACCCCCTAAACCCTAAACCCTAAACCCTAAACCCGAAACCCTAATAGAAATCCTGAACCCCTTGAGGTCCTCTGAGCCAGCCTAGGCCCAGGGAGTTCCTAAAGACGACCTCTCGAGGCTCCTAGAAGGTTTTAGGGTTTAGGGTTTAGGGTTTTGGGAATTAGGGGCTTGGGAGATGAGGGAATTTAGAGGCTTAGGAGATGAGGTTTGAGATTCCGATACTTGCTGCTGCTGCTGCTAACATCTGGCACTATCTACTCCCAGAAGGTTCCCAGAAACCATGCGAATTCTAAGGAGCTCTTGGCGCAGCTGCGCCCAAAACCCTAAACCCAACATCCTCAACCCTAATCCCTAAACCCCACTGGGGCCATCTCCATCAGTTCTGAGCCAGTGTGGCACCTTCAGGCATTGATGAAGCTGGCCCGAAAGATGTGGGCGGCGGATGAACGCATCAACAACGCAATGACGCTGATATTGAACAAGGCCGGGCTTCAGGGCTTCCTTGTTTCAGGGTTTCAGGGGCTCAGGGTTTTAGGTTGTTAGGGTGTTAGGATTTTAGGGTTTAGGGTTCAGGGTTTAGGGCGGGGGGGGGGGCGGGGGGGGAATTTAACAAAATCTTGTAGTGGTTACAGCTTAATTAGGGAACTCTACATACCCCTTTTCATGGACATGTTCAAACTTAGGGCCAAGGGCACTTCTCAGACTAGGTGCACTCGGAACATAGCCGCAAAACCCCCAGCTGGATACCTTCTAGTTTTTAGAACTTAAAAATACCTAGATCCATTACAGCCCCAAAACCCCAGAATCCTGAACCCGAAACCCGAAACCCCCAAGCCTGGGCCAACTTTCAGAAAGCCAGTCCACTCGGCCTGAGAATTTTGGGTAGGGTTGCCCTACACCCTAAACCCTAAACCCCAAACCCCAAACCCCATACACTAAACCCTAAACCCTAACAACCCTAAGTTCCCAAACCCTGAACCCCCTCCCCCCCCCGGAACAGCCCTAAACCCTACCCCTACCCCTAAACCCTAAACCCTAAACCCTAAGCCCTAAACTACCCGCAACCCTGAACCCTAGACCCCAAACCTTGAACCCCCCCGGCAGGAGCTGTACGAGAAGGGGCGTGACCCGATCGACGGGCCGGCGGACATCATCGGAACGCTGGGTCTACGAGAAACCTTTCAGGCCAGATACCCTAAACCCTAAACCCTAACCCTAAACCCTAAACCCTAAACCCTAAACCCTAAACCCTAAACCCTAAACCCTAAACCCTAAACCCTAAACCCTAAACCCTAAACCCTAAACCCTAACCCTAAACCCTAAACCCTGGGGTTTGGGGTTTAAGGTGTAGGTTGTAGGGGTTTCTAGGGGTTCGGGCCTTAACGCAGGTTGGCTTTGAGAACTCAAGGGCTCAACGTGTAAAGGCTTACAGGGCTTCGGGCTTAGGGCCTAAGTTTTGGGTTTAGGATTTCGGCATCAAGCTTAGGGGAAGTTAGGTTTAGTCCGTAGGGTTCCCGCAACATGGGGGTATCCTTTTTTGAGGGGTCCTGTAAGAAGAACTGTCGTAATGTTGGGGTTCATAAAGGGTCCTGTTTTGGGAAGTACCCTGACGATGGCGATGATGATGATGATGATGGTGGTGGTGGTGGTGGTGATGACTCTCCCTCCTAGACGCTGCGCGCATCTCAGGGCCTGCAAATGTGAAGAAACATCCCAAACAAGCATGCTTTTGGCCTCGTGGCAGGTCTCGTGGCATTCCATACTCGAAATCGTGCTTTCGCCTGGGTCCCGCGCACTTTTTGAAGCTAATATAGCGATATTCAGGGATTTGCCTTTTGCGGGGTTGCGAACCACGGTAAACCCACAGTAACCTTAATCCCTAAACCCCTAAAACCCTAAAACCCCAAAACCCTAAAACCCTAAAACCCTGAAACCCTGAAACCCTGAAACCCTAAACCCTAAACCCTACACCCCCCGACAGGTCATGGCCTACGCTGCCCTTGACATGCCCAAAGAGGAGATGAAGCATGTAGATGCAGTTTCTTCGATGGCGGCTTGGGCAGAAGCAAGGCTTAATGTGTCTGTTGCTTTCGAGCGACGGTCCCGTGGTCCTAAACCCTAAACCCTAAACCCTAAACCCTAAACCCGAAACCCTAAACCCCAGACCCTGAACACCCTTGGGTTTCAAAGGTTTGGCATTTTGAGGCATGAGGCATGAGGGTTGGTTTCAGGATTTCTGGTTTAGGATGTATGTACCCGAAACCCTCAGAAACCCCAAACTCCAATAAGCCCGAAACCCTGAACCCTAATCCCTAAACCATAAACCCTAAACCCTAACCCTAAACCCTAAACCTCCTGCCCATTGAGCCAAGGCTTCAGGTTGGGGATGTTGCGGCGCAGTGTTTTCAGCTTTTACGCTGTTTGAGGGCTTAAAGAAGAACTGCCATGGCACATAAGCCCAAAGCCCTAGAACCACGAGGCGTTCCGGTTTCGGGTTTAGGGTTTGGGGTTTGGGTTTAGGGTTTAGGGTTTAGGGCTTAAAGGGCTTAGCAAGGGGTAAGGGGTTTTCAGGGTGGAGGGTTCAGAATCCTTGAAGTATGTAAAGAGAGGTTCCTATACCTTCAAAATGTCGAGGATGTCTCTACTGATAGCGCATGGGGTGGAGCACTGAGCCCCACCTCCAAGTCCTAGTGTTTAACCCCAAACTCTAAACCTAGGTCGCATTGAGGTTTAGGATTTGGGGTTTTGGGTTTAGGGTCTTTAGGGTCTTTGGGGCTTAGGGTTAGGGATTAAGGGTCTAGGGGGTTTGGGTGTTGGGTTTGGGGTTTTGGACCTTTTGGGCGCTTAGGGCCTTTAGGGCCCTGTAGGGCCTGTAGGGCCTTTAGGGCCTTTTGGGCCTGTCGGGCCTGTGGGGCCTTTAGGGCCTTTCGGGCATGTAGGGCCTGTAGGGTTTTGGGTTTAGGGCTAGGGTTTAGGGACTTAGGGCTTAGGTTTAGGGGTTTAGGGCTCTAGGGGTCGAGGAGGTCCGGGAGTTAGGGGTTTAAGGTGTTGCCCGACCTACCCACAAGTGTCGCCTCACCTTTGTGTGGGTCGCTCATTTCTGTGTATTCCTACCCGGTGCCCCCCCGAAAAGAGAGTCAAAACGAAGATGGACCGAAAACACGAAACCCAAACCCATCACCCCAAGCCCTAAACCCCAGACCCTAACCCCTAAACCCTAAACCCTAAACCCCTAAACCCTAAACCCTAAACCCTAAACCCTAAACCCTAAACCCCAGGAAGCGCTTTCAAAAGCCTCCCAGGCATGGGCGCTGGCAACGGCCAGCGTCCCCTTGGCCTCGCTGCAAATCAAGGTGGGGTTTAGGGTTTAGGGTTTGGGGTTTAGGGTTTAGGGTTTGGGGTTTAGGGTTTGGACCTTATGGTTTGGGGTTTGGGGTTTTGGGTTTAGAGTTTGGGGTTTGGGGTTTAGGGTTTAGGGTTTGGGTTTTGGGGTTTGGGGTTTGGGGTTTGGGGTTTAGGGTTTGGGGTTTCGGGCTTCAGGGTGATCAGGGTTTGGGGATCAAGGACTGAGGGAAGTTGAGGGTGTAGTGTTTAGAGTTCGGGGCTGTGGGTGCGCTCATCATCTTCTAAAGGACGGGCGGGTGTTTTCTTGATCGGGTGTAGGCACCGAAACCCTACACCCTGAACCCTAAACCCTAAACCACTTGGAGTTTGCGCACAGTCCTGGTGCTGGAGGCCTGCTGGTGTAAGTCGGATACAGGCTTGAGGTAGGGCTTGAGGGCTTCAAACCCCAAACCCTATCGGCGCTAAACCCTGAAGCCTCCACCTTTTGGCCACCAAAAGAGTCTGTGCCTGAGGCGCTTAGGTCGTTCATGCTGGCATTGAAGGGGAGACCCTTAACCCTAAACCCTAAACCGTAAGCCCTAAACCCTAAGCCCTAATCCCGTACAACCTAAGCCCTCAAACCACTCTTGCATCTTGTAGACATGGTGCTCCAAGCACAAGCTGTCCCCTCGCACCTGTCCTTTCGACTCCTTGTGGGCTTAACCCGTTGGAGGTGGCCAAAGGCATATTGGCCAACATCGACAAGGCCAGGGAAGATTCATTTTAAACAATTAGGCCCTGACCCTAAACTCCCTAAACCCTAAATTACTAAACGCCCGTTACCCCCACTTACCCCGGAAGCCTTGAGCTCGTGCCCTGAAGCCCTAAACCCCTGAATCAAGGGCTTCACAGCGGATCAAAGGCCCCCTAGGCGTGGGCATTTCTTTGAAATGATTCAGGGTTCAGGTGCACAGTGTCGAGGAAAGTTTCTCCATCTGTTTTCTTTCTGAACTTTAGTTCAAAAGGATGTGAAGAAACTCATTTCACACTAGCTTGTGGGTTGAGCGTTTAGGCTTCGGCTTGAGGGATGTTCGGGATGACTCATTGTTTCAGGGGTAAGGCTGCGGGTGTGGCTTAGGGCCTGCGAGTGTTGGAGGTTCTAAAGGTAGTTACATGATTTTTTAGTATGGGCTCTTAAAAGGGTACCCCTTTTACACCCCTAGCCCATACAAATTCAGGGCCCATACATCAGAACCCTTTAAAGGAGGTTGGGGACCATATTAAGGGCCCATGACGCTACCCTCAGAGGAGTTTGGGTTTGGGGCCTAGCGTCTAGATCTGACCTGTCCCTGGACTAGGACTGCCAGACTTGAACCCAGAGTAAGGGTTTAGGGTTTAGGGTTTAGGGTTTCGGGTTTAGGGTTTCGGGTTTAGGGTTTAGGGTTTAGGGGTTCGGGTTTAGGGTTTCGGGTTTGGGGTTTAGGGTTTAGGGGGTCCTTCGTAAGAACCTATCAAACAGAAAAGAAAAAAAGAAAGGCCTTTTGACTCCTTGGGGGCACTCAGGGACAGAGGGCAAGCCGGAATGTCCCCTAAACCCTAAGCCCTAAACCCTAAACCCTAAACCCATGAGGTCATGCCTCCAGACATTGGGAAGCTTTTCGTCGCCATGCACGAGATGGAGTGGTTCAAGGCACAAACTGCGTAGAGCCCACAGACCTTAAGCTTCCGGTTTATGGTCTAAGGTGTATCTGATGGAAATAGCATAAGGACGCCCACGTGCATCCTTGTCCTAAACCCTCAACCCTAAACCCTGAACCCTAGACCCTAGACCCTAAACCCTAAACTCAAAACCTAAACTAGGAGCATGGCAGCCTGACTGTTTCAGCTCGCGAGTCCCTTCTCTGATTTGCTGCCGAGCCGCAGAGCACTCTAAAGTGGCAAGTGGTTCGAGACTAAGCTCGAACCTAAACCACTGGTTCGGGTTTGGGGTTTAGGGTTTACCCTTCAGGGTTCAGGGTTTAGGGTTTAGGGTTTAGGCTAAACCCTAAACCCTACTACACCTCAACCCTAAACCCTAAACTACCCTTGAGTCAGTGAGCGGTCAGAAGCTCCTGAAGCCTCCCAGGTTTGCCAGGCCCCTTCAAGATCTTCTAGAAGCAAAGCCACTGTGGTTTACCCAAACCCATATTTGTTTCGGGTTTGTAGGGTTTGGGGTTTAGGGTTTAGGGTTTAGGGTTTAGGGTTTAGGGTCTATGGTTTAGGGCTTCAGGTTTAGGGTTTAGGGTTTAGGGTTTAGGACCCTCAGGCCCTCAAACCTAAACTTTCCCCCCTTAACCCCCATGCGCGAGGACAAGGACTCCATCGCCTACCTGACCCAAGCCCTTGTCTCCCGAGTGCAAACCTTGAAACAGGAGGCCCGTCTGCGGAGGGTTGGTTGGGGCCCGAAGCTCTGAACCCTAAACCCTAAACCCTGAACCCTAAACCCTACACCCTAAACCCTAAACCCTAAACCCCAATCAACAGTCATGTACAAGTGCTAATAGTTTGTCCCGAACCCCAAGGTATCCGAGTTTCATTTTTCAGTCTCCGGGCTCACGGACCCTCAGTTGCAGGGTTTAGGGTTTAGAAAGGAGCCCTGCACCCTAAACCCTAAACCCTAAACCCTAAACCCTAAACCCTAAACCCTAAACCCTAAACCCTAAACCCTAAACCCTAAACCCTGTTCAGCAACATTTCCTGGCATTGAGGGTGTTCGGCGCAGCCAACCGAAGCCTACCCCCCCCCCAAACCATTAGGGTTTAGGGTTTAGGGTTTGGGGTTTGGGGTTTGGGGTTTGGGGTTCAGGGTTTGGGGTTTAGGGTTTAGGGGTTTAGGGGTTTAGGGGTTTAGGGGTTTAGGGGTTTAGGGGTTTAGGGGTTTAGGGGTTTAGGGGTTTAGGGGTTTAGGATCCCTGTTGGCGGGGCTTTGACTCTGCTGCGGGCCGCGCTTTCCCCAAGTAGGGGGTTCGTGTGTAGGGGGTTTAGGGTTCGGGGAGTATGCAGTAGCTGGTTGGGGAACATGTACTGCTCAGAAATACTACGCGTTGCCCTGTCACGTTTCGCGAGAAAGAAAGTCTGTTCCCTTCATCGCTCTTGCTAACGCGACGGCTCCATCCATAGTGGAGGGTTTCGGGTTATACGTGCATGATGATGCCCGGAGTAGCCTGGCTCCTTTCTACAAGAAGTAGTTAAAGTAAAGTTCCCTTGTAACCTCTGAACCGAAAAGGACACCCTCATTTTTAACTACTAGGGTGTTTCCTGGGCAGCCTGGTACATGTGGCCACAAAACCCCAATACCCCAAATCCCAAAACCCTAAACTCCAATTCCCCAAACCAAAGACCCCTGCACCCTAGTCCCTAAAAACCCTATCAACCCTATAAACCCTGATACCCAAAATCCTAAACCCTAAGCCCTAAACCTTGAACCCTAAATCCTAGCCCCTAAGCCCTACGCCCTAAACCCTAAACCCTAAACCCTAAACCCTAAGCCCTAAACCCTAAACCCTAAGCCCTCAGCCCTAAACCCTAAACCCTCAACCCTCCTCAACCCTAAACCCTAAACCCTAAACCCTAAACCCTAACCCTAAACCCTAAACCCTAAACCCTAAACCCTAAACCCTAAACCCTAAACCCTAAACCCTAGACCCTAAACCCTAAACCCTAAACCCTAAACCCTAAACCCTAAACCCTAAACCCTAAACCTCAACCCAGCACAGGATGCAGGCCTGGCCAAGGCCCTCGCGGCGCGCGTCTCTGAGGCAGAGGCTGAGGCAAAGGCGGAGGCCGAACAGGCAACGGATGGGGTCTAGTACTTGATAGCGGTACAAACTCAGGGTTTAGGGTTTAGGGTTTAGGGTTTAGGGTCTAGGGTTTAGGGTTTAGGGTTTAGGGTGGCTTTTCACTGCTCTGGCCTGCCGATTCTGAAGCTTGGACCGGAAGAGACGCGTGCAAGGCAAAAGGCACTCTGGCGTGGCCGGCTCAGAGCGTAAGTTCAGGAGACTTTGCTTAGGGTTTAGGGTTTAGGGTTTAGGGTTTAGGGTTTAGGGTTGAGGGTTTAGGGGTTTAGGGTTTTCGGGTTTAGGGTCCCGGGTTTAGGGTAATTGGGCCATCTCAGGAAGTGTCGCCTGGCATATGTTGATGGATGTTCCAGAATCTTCTTCCGATGGTTTTATTAAGTCATCAAGTGGTGGTTACCGAAATTGGTACCTTACTGGGGTCTGTTTCTTGGTGGCCCAGTGGTACCCTTTCCCTTTTTGGTTCCCTTATGAAAACCAACCCAAAAAAGGGTGCCCTCATCATAATATGGTTACTGGGCAACTAAGGAAGTTCGGGGGTCTATTTTAGGGGTCCTAAACCCTAAGCCCTAAACCCTAAGCCCCAACACCCTAAACCCTATTTTCGTAAACCTCACAGTAGGCTTGGAGGTGGCCCACCTTTACGGGCACGACATGCCAGGAGTGGATCGGGGTTGCCTCGGCTTCAGGGCCCTACGACACCGGGTTTAGGGTTTAGGGTTTGGGGTTTAGGGTTTGGGTTTAGGGTCTCGGCCTGAAGCCCAGTCTTCAATCTCGCCTTCGAGGGTTTTGCTGTACTTGCCACTATGTTTCACATGTGGCAACACGAAACAACTGGGGTCAAGCAATGTCCTGCTTTTTGGAAGGCATCTGCGCCTGAAGTATGCGAGTGCCTCTGGATGCTTGCGAAGAGACATTGATAGAGCTTGGGTCGTTGCAGAGTTTCCTCCGATTTTCAACTTCAGCAAGCGGAGGGTTCACACAGCATGCTGGGCCGCAAGGGGTTCAAGGAGCTTAGGGTTTAGGGTTTAGGGTTTAGGGTTTAGGGTTCAAAGAAGCAAACAGCGTTTGCGTCCTGTGTCCTGTGAATCACGCAATGTTCCGATCAGTTGTGGCGAGTCGAGGCCCAGGAAGATGTTGAAGTTCAGGGAGAGTACACAACAGTGCAAATGCTTGGCTCAATGGTTCAAAGCCTCAGCCTAAACCCTAAACCCTAAACCCTAAACCCTAAACCCTAAACCCTAAACCCTAAACCCTAAACCCTAAAACCCTAAAACCCTAAAACCCTAAAACCCTAAAACCCTAAAACCCTAAAACCCTAAAACCCTAAAACCCTAAAACCCTAAAACCCGAAAACCCTAAAACCCTAAAACCCTAAAACCCTAAAACCCTAAAACCCTAAAACCCTAAAACCCTAAAACCCTAAAACCCTAAAACCCTAAAACCCTAAAACCCTAGAACCCTAAACCCTAAACTTTTGGGTCTTTGGCCTGATGGGAGTCGAAGCTGAAGCTAGCAGCTTCCGGGCCCCCATGAGTCGAACGATGAGCTTAGGCATAGTTCGAGAGAAGCTCCACAGAGGGTTTCAAGAGACATGTAAACCTCAAAAACCTCAAAAACCTCAAAAATCTCAAACCTTAAAACCTTAAACCTTAAACCTCAAACCTTCAACCTTGAACCTTGAACCTTAAACCTTGAACCTTAAACCTTAAACCTTAAGCCTTAAACCTCAAACCTTAAACCTCAAGCCTCACCAAATCCCAGACCCTAAAGCCCTAAGCCCTCAAGCCCTCAACCCGCAGCCCTAAACCCTAAACCCTAAACCCTAAACCCTAAACCTTTAGACTCTTGAGTCCCCATGGCGCTGCTGCGGGAGCTCTTAGCCTTCTGCGCCGGCATCGCCGTCTCCATGGTGCTCTGGCACTTCGGCCCTGCTTCTGCAGGAGGGGGTAAGGGTTTAGGGTTTAGGGTTTAGGGTTTAGGGTTTAGGGTTTAGGGTTTAGGGTTTAGGGTTTAGGGTTTAGGATGCTTCTGCAGTAGGGGTTGGAAGGTCGTTTAGGGTCTCGGGTTTAGGGTTTAGGGTTTACAGCTTGGGGTTTAGGGGTCTTTTGGGGTTCAAAGGGGGTCCATTTTTTTTCTCTAGGCGGTTCAGGGTTTAGGGTTTAGGGTTCAGGGCTTAGGGTTTAGGGTTTTAAGCTTCAAAGGTTTTTAGTATTCAGGGTTTAGGGTCGTAAGGACCTCTATCGAACCCTCGCCCCAAAAACCTCTTCAGCTTTACAGTCAGAACCCCAAGCAGCCCTATAACCCTTAGGGTTTAGGGTTTAAGGCTAGTGTTTAAGTGTAGGGAAAGCTTGACAGCTCTCTTGACCCTGTTGAGGTTCTTTGTGGCGCAACCCTGGTTTAGGTTTTAGGGTTTAGGGCTTTTGGGTTTTAGGCTTTAGGACTGGCAATGCGTTTTTTGTGTAAGCTCGGTCGGGAGCTCGGGAATTCGGTACCAACGTGCAACCCGTTCCCTTAAACCCTAAACCCTAAACCATCTAAACCCTTAAGCCCCATACCTTAAACCCAAAACCCAAAACCGCCAGTTCAGCCATAAACCTGCAACCCGAAACCCTAAGCCCTCAAGCCCTAATCCCTAAGCCCTAAACCCTAAACCCTAAACCCCAACCCGAGTAGGCCCCCATTCCCACAGGCGCTCAGTCGGGCCGCGCGGCATGGGATCTGGCGAACAGCACCGATGACGCGCCGCACAAGGACGTGCCTGCTGCTCGGCCCTCTGGCCGCAAGGGGTTATTGGGGTTTTGAGGTTTGGGGTTTAGGGTTTGGGGTTTGGAGTTTGGTGTTTAGGGTTTGGGGTGCGGGGTTTAGGATTTAGGATGAAAAGCTTTAGCAAAATCAGTTTCGGAGAAAGATCGATTTTCGAGTTGGCAAAAAACAAGGGCGCGCCATCCATCAGGATGATGGTGATGGTGCTGATGGTGATGGTGATGGTGCTGATGACGATGACGAATAAGGATAGCATATATTCATTGGTTTGTTGTTACTGTTCATTCGCATATGTTTATGCATATACATATATATATATATATATATATGTGTGTATGTACATATGTATGTATATATATATATATACATTGATATGCTTGTTTATTTGTTTTTACATACCTGTAAATATATTTATATTTGGTTTCATATTTATATATCTATATTCGTATTTATTTTGTATGTGTGTTATATATATATATATATAGAAATGTTTTGTTAGTTTTGTGTTTGTTGGCTGTTTGTTGTTCATGGTTCATTCATCGCTGTCCACTGTTTACTGTCATTCTACAACTGTCGCTTGTTTCCTTCTGGTTTAGTTTTTTGTTGGGGGGATGTGCTACAGTAAACCCCGAAAAGTTGGAAACCCTTTTACCCCCTGTTAAGGACAAATAGTGCTGGGATTCCCTATACTTTACTCTTAGTATTGAGTTTCCAACTTGTTGGCTTCTACTATGCATGTTATCAATTTCTCGTTATCAGCCGGTATTCCTTTCCAGAGGCCTCTCCTCAAGGACTCCGAGCCCTTGGATCGCTTCATTGACGAGCTGGAGCGCATCACGGTGAAGCAGACCTGGGCTGGCCAAGTTCTCGGCGAGGTCAACTACTACCAGCAGCACAAGGACCGGGCAGAGGAGGAACCGCCCTAAAACCCCCTAGAGTAAACTCCAGAAAGTTGGAACATGGTTTGAGGATGATTAGAGCTGGGATTCCCTTTAGTATACCTTTTGGGGTAGAGGGATAAGGATGTTCCAACTTTTGGGGGAGTTTACTGTAACCTGAACCCTAAACGTTTTGAACCCTAGCCTATTGGGATGTTCTTCTCCCTTATACTAACAGTCCTTGATAGCGATTCTAGTACCCCCTACTATAGTCCCTCACAAGGACTGTTCGTATAGGGGGGGGAACATCCCAACCCGAAGACAATATCAGGGATTCTTGAATTGAACGAGGACCGGTTTGGAAACAAGGCGGACTTTACCACATCCTACCTGACTCTGGGCTGCTGTTCTTAGGGTGTAGGGTTTAGCGTCCAGGCTTATAGCGCTAGCAAACGCCCGGCTTGCGCTGCCTCGGCAGCCTGGCCGGCTTAATTTAGCTTGGGGGGGGGGGGGGGGGGGGGGGGGGGGGACGTGTAGGCTCTGTCTTCATTAGCAGTCAAGCAGCACCTTCTTGTCTGTCTTGGGCTTGTTGAAGCATGAAGCTTGTGTAGGATGGTGGGAGCAGCAGGGGGTCAAGGGGTTTTGCAGCCGCCTTTCAACCAGGATTATGAACTGGTATGCGCAGCAGAACCGATGTGGCGGAGGCACCAACAACGCCCTGGTGTTGTTGGCGGGTGCGAACAAAGGCCAATCCACCAGCAACGTCCTCTCAGCCTGCCCAAAAGCCCGTCCCCAGGTGTGAGTTGGGGGAGATGTTTTCAGCTATGGGGCATTTTGGGGGAGGCCAAACCTAGAGAGAGAGAGAGAGAGAGTTGCTGTTAAAGAACTTAAACAAAGTATATTTTTATATAATATGTGTGTATATATATATATATATTTGTACATTTATAAAGAGTACATGAAGATGGTGTGCATATTAAACATCAGCCGAGGTATGCACATATTTGAGATTGTGCCGAAGCTCTTTCAAGAGCAGCAGAAGCGCTTCAAAGATTCCTCCCTGGTCTCGGTACACAGGATTCGCCGTGCCAGCAAAGGGGCTTTTGTATGTTCTAGGCCTGGACTCCCTAAACCCTACCACCTTAAACCCGAAACCCTAGACCCTCCCTAAACTTTAGGGTTTGGAGTTTAGGGTTCAGGGTCTAAAGTGGTAGGGTTTGGGGTTTAGGGTTTAGACCCTAAACCTTAAACCTTAAACCCTAAAGCCAAAACCCTAAACTCGAAACCCTAAACCCCAAACCCCAAACCCCAAACCCCCAACCCTGAACCCTGAACCCGAAACCGAAGGAGGGGCTGGTCGGACAAGGCGCAGTCGTTTCACATCACCGCGCCGGTGCAAGGCTCCAGTCCCGACACCCAGGGGCCATTTTAACCCCCCCCGAACACTTTGGGGTTTAGGGTTTAGAGTTTAGGGTTCAGGGTTTAGGGTTTAGGGTTTAGGGTTTACTGTGTAGGGTTTAGGGTTTGGGTTTAGGGTTTAGGGTTTAGGGTTTAGGGTTTCGGGTTTAGGGGTTAGGGTTAGCCCTAAACCCTAAACCCCAAGCCCCAAAACCCGCTGAAGCCTTGAAAGGGGTGGAGCTTGCCGGTCTCTACGAGGCCACTGGGAGGTGGAAGAACGCCCCGCAGTTGCTTACTGTTGGTTAGCAGGGAATGATGGTATTAGGGTTTAGGGTTTTGGGGTGCAGGGTTTAGGGTTTAGGGTTTAGGGTTTAGGGTTTAGGGTTTAGGGTTTAGGGTTTAGGAGGGAATGAGGTACCCTACATATTCCCTTAAAGGGTATATACAGGGCCCTAATGTTCCCCCCCCCTATATATATATGTAGATATATATATATATATATATATATACGTATATGTATACTGTACCCTTTTAAAGGATTACATGGGCCCCTTTTTTTGTAAGGTTGAATGAGACGGTCGACACCGTTCCGCTAGCCGACTTCCTCGTGGAGCAACTTGGGATCAACCCGAAACCGTAATCCCTAAACCCTAAACCCCAAACTCTTAGGGTTTGGGTTTAGGGTTTAGGGTTTAGGGTTTCGGGTTTAGGGTTTAGGTTTAGGGTTTAGGGGTTAGGGGTTTAGGGTTTAGGGTTTAGGGCCTAGCCTAAACCTAACCCCCAACACCCGAAACTCAAGGCTTAGGCCGCACCCCTACAGTGGGGAGAGTGGCGCTTTAAGGCAAGCCGACTCAGGTCGGTAGCACCGAGGACCCCGTACCGCCTGACCCCCATGCATCCCAACCTTCACAGCTTCTACGCCATATTGCAGAAAACCGAAAGCCCGAATGAACCCTAAGGATGGTTTGGGAGAATGAGCGTTTAGGGTGCAGTGTGTAGGGTTATTTGAGTCCTCTGCCTGCGTTTTTCTTGTACCACCTAAGACCCTGAGAACTCAACGCCCTGCTTGCCGGTTCAGGGTTTAGGGTTCAGGGTTTAGAGTTTAAAGCTATGAGCCAGTGAGGCAAGGCATCCAAAGCCAAGTGAGTTACGTCCTCATCGATGTGGAGGGCCAGGAGCCCAACGTGATTCGGGGAATGAGGCTGGAGACGAACCGACAGATCTTTCCACTCTTCCAGTATGAGCTGGGGGGTACCTGGGCCGATAGTCGGCACGACGCGAAGCAATGGGGGCAATATGGCATCGCCATGTACCTCAAGGCTTTGGGCTATACCTTATACCTGATGGGGGGCGACTTAGTCATAGTTGGGTAACATTTTACATGTTTTAGGGTACTTAAAACCCAATAAGGAATATACATTTAATTTTTTCATATTATCCCAACAATGAACTAGGCGATGGGGGCCAAGATTTGAAGAACCTGATTCTGCTCAACGTGGACCCTGAGTTCTTCCGCCTCATCTGTTGGCGACCTGAGGCCTTTGTTGATGGAAACCTCCTTGCAGTTCCTTTGTCACAGTTGGGTACCATCTTACATGTTTAAGGGTACTTAAGCCCTATAAGGAATAAACATTTACGTTTTTTTATCCCAACCATGAACTAGGTTCATCAGACTTTCGTGGATCCGGGCTTGTGGACCTTGATGCAGAAGTACGTCCTCGTGCCGAAGCCGCAGGCCAAGTGATCCTGCGCGCGCCAGGGGCCTCTCCGATGCTTCCCCAAGGCGATCCTCTGAGCTCCCCTGTACTCCTACGGACCCTTGGTAGCCCAAAGTGGTACCCTTTTTCCTTTTTTTTTGGGGGCGGGGGGGGTTCAAGGTTCCCTTAAAGGTAACCAACCACAAAAAGGGTGGCCTTAGTTGTAATGTGGCTACTGGGCTACTCAGGACCTACTGACGGCAGGAGTGGCTTTGACGGTGGATTGTACTCCGACAGAAGCCAACAGAAGCCCGCCAGAGAACGGAGAGGCCTTGAGCCTATTTGGACATGATTGGTTGGGATGTTCCCCCTTCTTCTAACAGTCCTTCGTAGGGATTTCATAATAGGGAGTACTATAATCCTTACTTATCCCCATTGAGGACTGTTAGTGGAAGGGGGAACATCCCGAATGATTGGACATGATGGCCGCGAAGGAGACGGAGCCACTTAGAAACGGGCCACCCGGCACCCCGCGCTCCCACGCACTGAACCCGAGAAAAAAAAGTCGCCAGATGTTCTTGATTCGTGAGATTGCGTGAAAATTTTGTTTTTTCTCGTTGAATGGGAATCGATGGTTCGATTTTGAAATGGCATCTATATTGGGTCAAGATTCGACGAGATTTCGATGAAATCTCGATGGCCTTATACGAAATTTCTGATTCTTAGAATAAGAGAATAGAATTCTTAATTCATCACGATCGAGAGGACGATCATAAGAAATTCGATTTTAAAAATAAGAAAATAAATATGCAATGATGTTTATTTGATCTATGACGATAGATTTTCGCATGATTTTGATAAATATATTGAAGGATGGGATTGAATATTTGGAAATCTAGAATTTGAATTTTCATTTATCGTATCGTATTTTGAGATATTCACTTGGAATCTATATATATTCTAATTGGAAATAAATAATAGGATGGAATTAAGAGATGATACGTTGTCGCGAATATTGGTTATGAGTCGATCGTCTTCCAGAATTATATAATATGATTATCTTATTTT